ACACACACACACACACACACGCACACACACACCTACATACAGAGAGAGAGAGAGAGAGAGAGAGAGAGAGAGAGATGGAAAGGGAGAGATAAAACACAGACCCGCTTCAAATATAAAAAAGGGAAGTGGTCTATCCACTTCTTCAGATCCGTTGCAAAATCAATCATGACGAAATTGTCCCTCCTGGCGCAGGACAGCAGCCCGCGGCAAATCCGAAAAGGAGTTTGGATACACATGTCGCAACACACAACCTCTGTGAAAAGTAATTGGAGCGTAAAAAAAAAAAAAAAAAAAAAAATCGCCAAAATAAGCGAAGGACACACGTCGACGGACGTGAATTGAAATGGGGGACTCATCTACCCGTCCGGACGACCACACACTACCAATGCCGTGATAACGATGGACTCGACCAGGCAGACAGGAGCAGAAACGGCGGCTAACGCTCGCGGATGGCCTTCGCTATCTCAAGCAGAGCGTGACACATCAGTTTGCTAACTTCGTCGGACGCAGCGTAGTATTTCTTTTGCACCTCCACCTCCGCTTCCAATGCCTCGCACTGCTGGATTTGGATTGAACACTGCCGTTTGCTGTTGCTTTCCATCGTCGACGCCACCAGAGCCCCGTGCTTCTCCATGCATTCCGACAGAGCGTCGAAAGTTTGCTGCCTCGTGCTCTTCCTCTTGCCAAAGCCAGCAGGGCATCCCGTCGGCTGAGAAGAACCTCTCGTCGACCCGTCGTCGTCGTCGTCCAGCCCTGCAGCAGCGTCCCGATCCCCGACAGACTCCGGATCACTAGAATTCGCCGACGGCAAACGCACACCCCCCGGAGCACCAGTGTCTGCGACGTTCTTGGGGTTAATGGTGTGGCTCTTGGCAGTCGACCCCAGGATCTCGTCGTAAACCGCACGATCCATGTTGAAACTGAAGCCCTTCGACAACCGCTCCTTCCCTGTGAACTGGAAGAAGTCCTGTTTCCCGGACAAGCCTTGGAAGTGGTGCACCTTCTTGAACTGCTGCATCAAATTGTCCCACTTCTTCCCGCACCGTTCTGCCTCCCTCTCCACTCCCACCTTCTTCAGCCTTTGCTCCACATCCAACCACTTCCATTCTCGCGGCTTCATACGACCGTACGCGGTGCCCATTCCCGGCACATGCGCGTCCTGGTCACGTTTAGCCCGTATCAAGGCCACCATGTCGTCGACGGACCAAAAATGACAACCGCCTTCTGCATTGCCGTCAGCTTCGACGTCGCTCCCCTTCCCCATCGACTTCTTGGCGTCCGGGAACAACAGGGATCCTCGTACGCAGCAATACAGGGCACCGTCTGCTTCAAGGGATGCCTCAGCTCGCCCGTCGTGGATGTTGTCCCCGTCTCCCCTGTCTGCCAATTCGAGTGCGGCTCGCAACCGGGGGGAATGCGGGGAGCATCATTGCGGGATCGAGGAAAGAGGTGACGCACGCGACGGGAGGGAGGTGTGGGAAGAACAGCGATGGATGCTCCATCCGCAACGGCAAGAATCCATAACACGGGGCGTGTAGCGACTGCGAGTGGTGGACGACGAAAACGACGGCGACGCACCTGATGTCGGCGGCAACGATCAGGACTTGAACGACTTTGACTGCGGGGGTGGGGAGGACGACGCAGGGCAAGTGTGACGCTGGAAACTTCGACGGTCGTGCAACAACCGTCACCTGGCCGCCATCGTCATCGGGACTGTTGTCGACTAGCACTGTCCGCGTCGAAGACGACGACCTTCCACTGCACAGACCGAACGTCAGATTCACACCTCCATCTCCTTCGTCGCCGCTCAGGCCCTGCTGGAGGAGCTGGGTGTACGACTGCCCGTAACTGGGCTCGCGGCTTCCACAAATCTCTGTGGCCGTCCACTCCTGCGTAGAGCCGCTTCCCAGCGGCACGACACGTGAACGTCTGCCATCCTCCTCCTCGTCCGATGTGTCCGGCAAAGGCTGCAAGTGCGGTGGCAGGTGCGCGTACTTCGACCGCTCCACCGCCCTTGAACCTCTAGACAGGCTCTGCTCGGGCCCTTGGCCACCACCCTCACCCCCTGCAGACCTGCAAACCGCCTGCCGCCCATCCATACTGACGTCCTTCTTTGCACACCGTCGCCTGCGCCCACGTCGCGGAACGATGTCGACGACACAGACGTGGAAGAGCACTACGAGGAGAAGCAAGAGGACGACCGACGCGAGCACCTGCAAGACAGCCGTGGACGTACAGGAAACGGCGACGGACACTCTACCGAAAATGGCCAATCACAGCTAACGACAAACGATGGGTAACGGGCTCCGTCGCAGAAGACACAACGCGATCGGGAAAGCGGGGGCGGCCTGAAGTATTCGAATTTGTCGACCGTTGGCCGCTTTCCCACCAGTGTCGAAGGGCGGCAACGCAAGGCAGCCCCTTTCCGACGTCGCGAAGGACGGCAGGCCGCCAAAGGGACCGTTGGCGGAGTATTCCATGACGCCGCCCGTTGGCAACCGGAGATGTCCGTCCACGGGCCGCCAGGAACAGCAATGGACCAGCCGCGTCGAAAATTGTCGTCGAGAGAGTTGTCGTCCACGCTCCGATTCTTCCGGACGCTCGACCTCCAAGGGACCTCGGGTCCCTTGGGAAACGCGTCGAAATGGCTGTAGGAATCCCGGAGGAAACCCCGAGGAAATGTTTTCACTTTTTTTTTTCGTTTTTTTCCCCGAGGATAGGTGGAACGATGATTTCCTCGGGGATTTTACTCGCCCGCGGAATGTCGAACGAGCCCCTGAGAAGAACCTGAGAATAGAATGCTTAAAGCACTTACGAAATCAGAAATCTTCGAAAATTCTAATGCTGATGATACTAATGATACCAGTGATGATGACAAAAGAATATAGCTACTCATGCTGAGTTAGCCATACTGGACTCCTAATCCTGAACGACTCCAAGCCCTCCCTTACCAGGATATTGCAACTCTGGCTGATCTCTTCTCACTACCCAGACTAACCCCACCCCATAAGTTGTCAAGATAGCCCCCCCTGGTTCCCCATTGGCTTGCTTTCCTCCCTCAGCAAACCCCAAATCTCTCTACAAGGCCTCCCACCCCTGCCACTTGCAGGTTACAGGGCTATGCCCCAGCTCCGACCAGCGTTGTTCTGGCATCGGCAATCCGGGAGCACAGAACAAAGCAACTTCAACAGTTATCAGTCTAGGTACGACGATCCCTGAATTCCTATATCCTAAATAAAGAAGAAGACCAGGTGCTGCCAAGATTGTAAAGCAGCGGATGGCTGGTTTTGAAGTATTGAACTGTATCGAAATTATCATATCTTTTTTGACGCATCGAGTTTATTAGATAATGAAAAGGATACGCTTCTATTGGTCACAACTCAAACCAATCCATACCCACTATACCCTGTCTCATGCTGCCTCCACCGAGGAAAATCCCTCGGCCCCAACATAGAACAGATCCCCTCCCCTCCCTCCACCTCATCCGCAAAGGCAACCAATCCCCTCCTAGAGGCTGTCTTTGCCCACCCCTTGTCCCTGTCTGCCCCCGCTGGGGTTGAAGGCAACCAACTCTCCAACCCCGGCCCCAGACTCAGACAATCCCCAATCTGCCCTACTCCCAATAGGGCTACTGCCTCCCACCATGCAACACCCCTGTAGAATAAGGCTCCCCTATAACAGACCCCAGGGTTAATTTTTCGGGGACAGCTAACTAATAGTCTATACCCACAACTGGCCAGCCCTATCTCTCCTTCCCCTAGCTTACCCAAGGCCAGGCGGAGCCCAGGTTGACAGTCCTACCGTTCTTCCCCTGGCTTGTCCCCTAACTTAGGCCAGACGGATCTCAGACCTGCTGGGTAACTACCGTATGTCTGTACCCTGGAGTCTCAAAACCCCCTGCCTACCAAAGTTCCAGCCATAACCTCCGAAGTCCTATCCCCACTAAAGCGTCTGCAAAATTCAAACTCTTGAACAAACGAAATAAAAAAAATTCACCTTACCCCAATCAGGGGGAACAGACAAGGCAAAACCTAGTGGTGAAATTACTAGACAATCCCGACATGAAAACGTTATGTCTGAAATTACTACTACAAATAGTGGTAATCAAGAGGTAAGTAATCAAGAAGTAGGTAATCGGGATATAGGTAATCAAGATATAGGTAATCTAGATGAAGGTAATCACGATATAGTTAATCAGGATGTAAATATTAATGACTATTGGATAATTGGGTACTAGCCGAAAACGGTACTCTGAGACAAAAATGTTTTCAGATGATATTAGTATTGATGATGGTAGTGATGATGATGAAAGTGTTATGGATGACTATTTGAGTGAAGCAGTAGCCTAAAGATAGTAGTGGCGATCAACTTCACCTACAAATGACTTACAACTAATGAATAAAAATTGTAATGAGGGTGAGCATGCTAATGAAGCTGCCCAAAAGAAATATTAATTGCTAACCTAAATGATCGTGATACAACAGATGGTAGCTATGAGGATAATAGTGTTGATGATCGTGATACTACAGATGGTGAAAATCACTATAGTAATGACTAAACACCCATAGAGACGTAATGATGATGAGGATGTCAACTAATTATCCATTATGTTGATGACGATCGCCTTACCGCAAGTGATGGTGACTAGTAATCTTGATGACGACTTGCTGATAGTGTTGACGAACTCGAGCTTGATGACGGACCGCGCTCCATGCTGTGATAACTCCGATCTGCAAGCTTGGTGTACTTCAGACTATGAATTACACACTTCCATGTCACCTTGGGTTATCTCCACTGCGATCTCCCTCAAGCGCCTTGTTGCCACTTCCCTTGCTACGTGGCGGCGCGGGAATCTTGCGTGGACCCCGTGTGGACATGTCAACCGGTGACGTGGCGAAGACCAGGACCCCTACCGGCACCAGTACCAAAGTTTTCGTATGCCCCTACCAGATGGTCGTTGAGAACCAGCACAAAAGCTTCCCATATGCCCTTATTGGTACTGTCCATCTTTCCACCGAGCCCCTGGAGCCGTTATTGACACTCACAGTCTTCCCCTGGCCCCAGGAGAGACGCCAACGGGGCATATCAAAAATTTGGCGAAGAGCACACACACACACACACACACACACACACACACACACACACACACACACACACACAC